TTGGAGTCTAAAGGCCTTCGTTTAAGTAGAACTAAAACTGAATACATGGAATGTAATTTTAGTATTAATAGCTCTAGTGACAGAAGTGTGACTTTGGGTGATCAAATTATTAAAAGGTGTGAACAATTTAGATATATTGGGTCCGTTGTTCAAAGCGATGGTGATATAGATGGGGATGTTAATAATGGAATTCAAGTTGATTGGTTGAAGTGGGGAATGCTTCGGGCCTTTTGTGTGATAGAAAAGTACCGCTTAGACTGAAAGGAAAATTTTATAAAACTGTGGTGAGACCTGCAATGCTCTATGGCGCTGAATGTTGGCCTTTAAAAGAGAAGCATAATAATAAGTTAAGTGTTGCCGAGATGAGAATGATTAGGTGGATGAGTGGTTTACACTTAGAGACAAAATGCGAAATGAATATATTCGTGATAGAGTTGGTGTATCTCCTGTGACGGACAAAATTAGAGAAAGTCGTCTTAGATGGTTTGGTCACATTAAACGTCGACCATTTGTGATTCGATTAGGAGAGTAGATGTTTTAGATTCGACTTGTGTTAAGAAAGGCAGAGGTAGACCTAGGAAGACTTGGGCTTATTGTATAAAAAATGATCTTAATTTACTAGAACAAAATGAAAATATGACACTAACGCAATGGAGAAAAAAAATTCATGTAGCTGACCCCACGTAGTGGGATTAAGACTTTGTTTGTTGTTGTTGTACATGTACATATGAATGTTTAAATTATTTTTTTTCATTGTTAGAATTTCATATTATTTGTCACATTTTTATCTCAATATTGTTATGTTGGTCAACTAGTATTAACACATTTTAAACTTAGGGTTCTTAAATGTTGGCTTTAATCTAACAATCAAATTAAGAAATGAAAATTTTTATCATTGTAATTTAGTTTCATATGTAAAGTTTCCCCTTTTTTAATTGAACTTTCTCGCTAATTTTCCTAAATAAGTTTTAACAAAAATTAATAAATTTACATATAAGATTTTTGAAATTTCAATTATTTAAAATTAATTACTAAAATTTTATTATCTTAATCTGCAAACCCCTCTACCTTCTCCGAATTATCGCACATGGAGAAATGCTCCTACAAGCCGCGTACTCTCCTCTCCTTTCACTTGATTATGGCACGAGATAGTCGCTCGTGCTTCCTTTCCGCTTTCATTTGCTCGGGACTCATCGATGATGCTTGCAGAACGCTTCCTCGAGCCACTGGTTTCTCCAGGTGTTCAATTGAGCGTCTCCTGTAGGAAGAAATGCTTCCTGTGTGCCCTTCGACTGCTTCCCCTTCCCTTTCTCCAACTTCTACCTCATGGTCGTTCGCAAAACTGTGAGCAGAGCTCGAGTGAGCCGCTCTCTGCTCTGGGGAACTCGCAAACGCTTGATTAGGGTATAGGAGGCCTCAATTGGAGCTCAGGAGATTCCTGGCTTTCATTTCTCTTGAGGATAGGATCTCAGAAGCTCCTTTGGAGCCTATCGGTATTGAAAATGCCGCACGAGCCTCGATCTTCCATGCACAAGGTTCCTACAACTTTCCTCTTCTTCGATCAGGGCACGCCCATTTCTTTCTCTCGCTCGCTCTGGTCTTCTCTTGCTTTTTCTTTCTCTCGCGTGGAGTGAAGGGACGAGAGAACAAGAGAATTATCTCTATTATAAAACTTCCATGAGCAGTGGGAGTTCGAGTTAGCGACTTAGGTTTTCATTTTTGTATATAATTATGTTAATTAAATTTTTAAACGGTATTTTTATAGAATCATTAAGTAATCCAAGTCTAATTAATTTATAGTTAATTACCATGAATATTTTCAAAATAATTTGTTGTTTTGTTAATTAAGTTAAAACGGGCACAACTAGAGGGGATAACCGAGCCATGTTCAGCTCGGAAACATATTTGTTGGGGCCATGAATCATTAGCTTTTTACACTTGGGGTTCACTCAACATTATACATCAGCGAACATATGTGACTGTTATTTTGGCAGAAAATAACTGCAATGTTTTATGCTGATTTCCCGCTTATGGTTCTCTCGTGTTACTCAATTTTGCTACAGCAAAGATTGTAAATTTCAAATTCATGTTTTTCATTATAAATTACTCTACTTGAAAAGGAAATAAGCACCAACAGCCTCAAATCTTCAAAACATATTGCTACATTTCATATAAGGTTCAGAACATAATTATTCATCATCATACTGGACCATTTTTATCATGTGAATAATTTATTTAACTGAAGCCACAAATTACATTTTTTATTTTGTGAAAAAGTTATAGATCCTTACTAAGATTCATGCGTTCTATTTTGGTCATTAATTTGTGTAAATGCCTCTTATTTTTGTCTAATGGTTTTTTTAACCATTCCTTAAAATGCAGGCAACCACATGGTCTTCTTCATTTTGAACTTGGTTGAATTTGTTGGACTCCTCATGACCTTCAAGCCTTTCCTAGCTTATTCTACACAGAGAAGACGTTGAGCTTAGTTTATAACATACACAATAAAAGCTTTCTGGTTTAATGCTGCAGCTCAATTTAATGGAAGATTAAGGCAAATTATTCCACTCTTTCTTATGATCGATCTTCCGGATTATTTCCACGGGTGGATATACAGTTCCTTTGATTTTATTTCTGCAATTTCAAAAAATTCCCTGTAAGTTGTTTCTATGCTGCTTTAATTCACAAACTTATTTTTTCTATTGCATGTATGAAATTGCATGCATTTGTGATTTGTTTTTTTTTTAATGTATAATTAATTTTGTTTGGTTTCAGTATTGTAATTATGTGGATGCCTGCTGTTTTGCGTCAATAAAAGACTAGAATTGGGCTGAATGAATGGAGTGGGTTTCTGAGTATTTTTCCTGATTGGTTTATTTCAATCATGCTGTTGCTCATGTAAATTTAATAAATTGAAATGTCATGTGGCAGAAGTTGCTGCTTATTGCACATTTCTTGTTTTTGTGGGGTGGTTCTATTGTTCTTATATCTTAGACTTCTATTTAGGGCTCTTAAAAAAGATCGTAGTTCATGAACAACTTGTGTTTGACTTAATAAATAAGTTTGTGTTTGATTCATTCATCAAGCAAGCAAGCCTAACGGATAAGTTTTCTTGAGCTTGATTTGTCAATGAGTTGAACACTCGACAATTTTTTTCAATCAGTGTGTTGATTTTTTTTACTCAAACTAATTAAATAATAAAATACACAAAAATCGACTATAAAAAATGTTTTATATTTTTTTTTTATTTTAACTGTATTTAAAAAATATTAAATTTTATTTATTTTTATTTCATATGAGCTAATTTGGAGCCTAACACGAGTTGAAATGAGTAAATGAATTTAAATTGAGCTGCATATGAATTTAGTTTCCTATTTTAAACACATTTTTTACACTATTGGCTATTTTTGTTCGCTACCATCATGGCAGCATCGAATGGTAGTTCATGTTTTTTGTTTCAATTTGAAGTACGAGTTTAGCATGGATCTTTCTTGTATATTCTTTTGAGTTTATCATGGTCTAATTTATTTTGGATCGCTATTTATATTATGAGGAATTTTTTATATAAATATATTTGTGGTTATTCTTTTTTTCTTCTCAGTATTTGTCCACCTTTAATATATCTTTTATTTGTTTGTTTCTTTAAGCAAGGGTAACTTAGAAAGAGGATCTGACAAGCACAAACTCTAAAAAGGCTGTTTGGGCTGCATAAGAAAGGGAAGCAAACGCTAATTTTAAGCCCCCTAAAAGTCATACATCTCATTGAGTTCCCAAGGGTGTAAACCGAGGAGTCTTCCCCCATTTTGAGCAGGGAATCTTCTCTTATTTTTAATTTGTGTGCTTCCCCCTACACTCCATTTTTAAGCCCTTCTTGATCTGATGGAGTTTGTATTATTTAAGGCCATGATTTTTGTAGTTGGAGGAGCTAATGGAGTTATTTAGAGATACTAAAGTGGGGATTATCATCTAAACTTAGTGTAGGTAAAGAAATCCTTTGACCCTCATTTGTTCTTTTAGTTAGAAGCTCTAGATCTCTATGTTAGAAAAGCTAGAATAGGCTGTTTTTAGAGAAAATCTAAGCTAGGATCTCACATTTCCCCTATTTTTTGCCTCATTTGTGAGCTTTGAGCCTTGTTTTAACTAGTGATGTGGCACTATTCTTTGGGTGTTACGACACAATTTCCCTTTATTTTGGGTTTGAAATGCTCTGTGGCCGTCAGTTCATGCCCTCAGTAGCCACATGCCATTGCTTTCATGATGACATGAAGCCACCTAGTTTTGTCTCAATTGGCACATGGATGCTACTTACCAACATCTTCATGACAGATATTCAGAACATTATTTTCAACTTCATAACTCTAATACTACCCTTTGACATCATAGAACCCTATGAGCTTACCGAGTTATTTATTTTTTTTTTCCCTTTTCGAGTCACACAGTTAATGCCTTGTGTAGTGTAATGAATGTGGGGAGTTTTTGCTAATCAATTAGGTTTGTTTCTACCACATAATATTTGTCTCCTAAACTTTATAGATCAGTTTTTTTTACTCATGGGTCGTTGGTATGCTCTGTGTCTCTCATTTTGGCTTTTGCTTTGTCAGTCGGGTTCTCCTTTTTTTAAACAAAAAGATCCCTAGGCTTTCTAGACCGGGCGTCTTGGGATTTTTATCCCAAAGCTTATGTACACCCTTTCTCATGGGTGGTGGTTTCTCATTTAGCTAATTGGCATAGCTTACATCACTCATGTCATGATCGACATGATTAGATGTAAGTCCGCTTTTTTCTATTTTATTAATTTTACTAACCACTCAGTGATTTGTGTAAGAAATGCTATAGTCCTATAACTACCTATGATTAGATGTATGTATATATAGTTTTAGAGCACCAGCATGCTATTTGCACTGGTTAGATGATCAAAAGGACTGGTGCTCAGGTGCTCCATTTTGACACGATGACACTAGCCTCTTGGCATCTAGATCATAAGGCCTATGCGACAGTTATGTTTTCACGATATTGTAGTGTCATCCCTCTAATCGAACTGCTACACTTATTTACATTTATGCATTTCCTTACATATGCATGTTTGGAGTCATTTGTCTTATCTTATGCATGTCATTTTATATTTATTATGTTGCATGCTTGTTATGTATTTATTGCATGTTGAGTGATTTATCATCATTATACCTAGAGTTATAGTTGTTAGCACCTAGACACAACTTCAATGGTGCTACGATGTTGACCCTTTTTCTTTCTAAGAAAGATGGTTGGTACCCCCGGAATCGTCCATACAACCCCGTAGTGATACAGTTCTCATTCAGTGTCACATTTTTCATGTGTTGTATGACCCATTGTATTTATGTTTGTGAGTATGCATTTGTTGTATTTTTTATTTCTCTATGCATTCGTTGCAATGTGATGCCTTTGTTGCATCTTCATATCATAAGGACCATATTGTGTCATGCTTTTGGTGCTTAGTTTATCACACAATTCATATATTGTGCATGCTTATTCTTTGAGCGTTCCATTTTCTCCAATGAAAGCACTCGTTCTCCTTCTGTAGGTTTAGGTTGCATGAGTTAACACCTTAGTGGTTAGGCTTCAGCTACACTTAGATTGATTTGTGGTGGTAATAGAAAGATGAGCATTGCCTAAATTATACTATTACTACAATATCATGTAAAATCAATTCAAGTATAGGTTTGAGTTAACATTCATCACTCATTATGGTGGATGTTAGCTCTCTCTGATGCTCAAAACGGGGCTAACTTAGTGACCCCATCAAGATCCTAAAGGAAAAACCATCAGCTCCTATATTACACGCCTTGCACTTAGATGTATGTATAGGTAAGATCTTTTAGTCTCTATTCAGAACTAGGGTTAGGATTAAGTTATGTTTTTTCATACACAACTATTGTGTTTTTGTTTTGTTCTAGTGTTTTTTTGCCCTTTTTTTTTTTTTTTTTTTTTTTTTTTTTTTTTTGCATGCTTTACTAGATTTAAGATTTGAGCACTAGCATATTAGGATAGTTTGTTTACAGAGAGCTAGGTCTAATAGGGATGAGCTAATAATAATTATGTTAACTCATACATTTTCTATAAATGTTGTTTAGCTCTCCTGCCTCCAGACTTGTTTCATTTTATGTTGCATGAGTTCGCATGTGTTAACTCTATTCTGCAGGTCAGGTCTTTCTTTTGACTTTATCTATGTACTTTTATGTTTTAGGGGAGTCTATATTAGAAATAATGTATGAGCATGAGTTTCTGAGACACTTTACGTGCATAACTAAGTGGAGAGGACTAGGAACTTCTTGCTCGTTCCTCATATCTTAATTCTATATTATATATTTATTGTATATATTTAGGATCTGGCATGTATAAGCAGAGTCTGACCATTATTTTGCTTATATGAGATATATTATCGATCAGTGACTCCCAGATTTTTTTATTAGTTATTGAGTGTTTAATTTATTGCACATGCATGTGTCACTCTTTCTTGTATTTATCATTTGTCTAAATTTACAACACACATAGGCTTTTTAGGATAAGTTTTATTCTGCAAAATTTTAATTTTACGAGATTTTTCTAATAGAATTTAGGATTAAATTTTACAAGAATTTAAAATTAGTATTTTTATTTCATGTACTTTGCTTTCCTGCATGGCTTTCAGGCTAATTTTAAAATAAATAAAAGTGTGTAAATATATCCACCTATATATTAATAGGACCTATATGACTAGATGTCTTAGATAAGTACATACTTATTGTTTGTTAAAAGAAAAAACTCTTACTTTTTGATTTGACCGACCTAGCATATGTTTTATGTGCTTATGTGGTTGTGTGGTATGGCTTAGGGTGTTAGATTCTTTTCTAAACCAGATGGGATTGTAAGCCCTTTGTGGGGGAAGCTTGGCTTTGTAGCTAGAACATCAATTCCTCTTTATTTCTATGTAAGTTTACTATTCATACCCTTGTAAAATATAATCCCTATTCTATCTTTTTGGTTCAGATAGTCATAGGAGCTTAGATGTTTATTTTTTGTGTTTTAATGTCTTTTGAATTAGTTCAAATGATGTAACACATGGCTTGCTAAAGAAGTAATCCCTAATCTGTTTGGGTCAATTACCTTCATGGCTCAATAGATATAGGGTCCTAATAATCTGTGAGGGCAGGCCCATGGAGCTTTGACTAGGTTATCAATAATTGTATATATTCCTCTAACCTACATGTTGATCTACCCCTTTTAAACTTATTCATTTTCCTTGTTGAGTCTTAGTGGGCACATTTTGTAGGCCCTCATGGTCATGTGGTGACTGTCGTTAGGTTACAGTGATTCACCCATTACCTAGTGGCTTAGCTTCACCCTTATGATTAGACGTTTTCCCTACCTACAAAAACTACCAAATATCTCATTGGCTACCTAGATTTTTAAGTGCTTTTTGAGCAACTGCAAGAACCTTATCACAAGTTTTTATAGGTGTCCCTCTGCATGTAATTACTTTTAGGATAAGTCATCGTGGGGGCCTCTTTGAACCTATAATAAATAAATTTGATTTTATATTATGGTTTGGTTGAACCATCAATTGGTATAGTTGAACCATACTATCATCACCAGAATCAATTATAGATAACTTCAACTTCTCAAGATCTTTAATTAACTGCTCCTGCCGAGTAAATAAATAATTTAAGTTACTTGAAGCTTTCCTACTCACCACATCTGCCACTAAATTAGCCTTCCCTTAATGGTATTGAATATCCAAATCATAATCTTTAATAAATTCTAACCATCTTTTCTACCTCAGATTTAGTTCTTTCTGAGTAAAAATATACTCCAAACTCTACTGGTCACTAAAATCTTCACATCCAAGTCCATACAGATAAGGCCACCATATCTTGCGTTAAAATACAACTGCATCAAGCTCCAAGTCATGTGTAGGATAGTTCTTTTCATGATTCTTCAATTGTCGTGATGTGTATGCCAGGAGCCTACCATGCTGCATAAGAGATGTATCACTAAAAATCTGAAACTCATCATAACTTGAAGGAGTGGTTCATACTATGAACAAACATTAAGTAAGCCTTCAGCTTTTGAAAAGCCTCCTCGCAACAACCAGACCAATCAAACTTCACTACCTTTTGAGTCAACCTTGATAACGACATAGCAATCTATGAAAATCCCTCAACAAATCTCCTGTAATAATCAACCAAACCTTTAAAACTCCTAATCTCGGTGAGAGTAATAGGCCATAGCCAAGCTACAATCACCTTGATCTTATTCCCTCTCTATTAATAATGTGTTAAAAAAAAGCCATACTTTTAAGCCAAAATTCACAATGAGAAAATTTGACATAAAGTGTATTCTCCTTCAAAACTTATAGCACAACATGTACATGATGTGTATGACTGACTTCATCCTTTGAGTACACCAAGATATCATCTATAAATACAATCACAAAAATATCCAAAAACTGCATGAAGATCTTGTTCATCATATCTATGAAAACTGCTGAAGCATTTATCATTCTAAACGGCATCACCACAAATTCATAGTGTCTATATGTGGTCCTGAAAGCAATTTTCTCTATATCTTCTTTAATCCTCAGGTAGTTATAGCCTGACCTCAGATCAATCTTTGAAAATACGGAAGCCCCTTCTAACTGATCAGATAAATTGTCAATCGTCGACAGTGGATATTTATTTTTAATTGTGAGCTTATTCAACTCCCTGTAGCCAATGCACATCGTAAAACTCACATCCTTCTTCATGAACAATACTAGAGTTCCCTAAAGTGAGGTGTTAGGTCTAATGAACCCCTTATCTAACAACTTCTGGCTCTTTAGTTCCTGGAACTCCTTAGATATAAGCTCAGAACTTGGCAAGAGCTCATTATTTAAATCAATCTATCACACTGGTGATAGTTCTGATAAATCATCAAGGAACACCTCTGAATATTCTCTACCACTAGAATATCACCCAAAGGCTTTACTTCTTTAGAGGTATTTGCTACATGGGCAAGAAAACCTTGATTTCCATAATTCAACAATTTATAAGCCTTCAAACACATAATTATCATAGATGTCAATCCTTTGTCATCACAAAATTTAACTTCTATTCCTCAGACACATTTATTTTGATAGTCTTCTTATTACAATCAATAGCGACAACATTTTTAGACATCCAATCAATGCCTAAATTCACCTCACACTCCATTGTTGACCACATTTTTATGAGGGTTATCTCCCTCTCTAGAGCATGGGATATAGTCATAGAATTTTCCTACTAACTCTTCTAGAGGACTTGTTATTAAAATTATGAATGAAAATGTATTTCAACTTGGGAAAAAAAAATTGGGCACACATCTCTTTAATTGGCTTTATTTTAAGTATTCATTGATATTTGATAAAAAATAGTTAAATTAATTAGTTCTTTAATAATATGTTAAATCCTAAATGAAAAATATATTTAATACTTTCGTCCCACCGAATATAAGAGCATTCTTATTACAAGCCTTTTATTTCATATGATTGCCTATCTAACAAGTTAACATTTTAAAATATATTAATCAATTCCATAAATTTATTACATAACAATTACTAATTAATTACTCAATAATTACATTTATTACATAATTAACACTTTCAAGTTTAACTAATTTATTACATAAAAAGTTTTGCTTATAGAGTTACAAAAATTTCATTGTTACAGTCTTTTTTTAAACAGTTTTATCAAACAATGACAGAATTGTCATTTTTCCAGAAACAGTCGTTCTGCAGCTGTTTTCACGCAGTTACACCAAACAAACTGTCAGCTTCCCCGCAGTAGCTTCCTAGGGCAGCGCAATTGCAGCTGAAAAACTCAGAAGCCACAGCTGCGCCAAACAGAGCCTACGTAAACAATACAGGAGCTCTTTAGGATTATTTTTAATTTTTATTTTTTATAGAGTTTATTTTAAAATCTAAAACACTATGATCTTTTAAAACACCCAAATTTCTTTTAAAAAAAGTTATTTTAAACCTTTTAAAATAAAATTAATATTATTTTAAACATAAAAGATATAAAAAATAAACTAAATAAACATATATTTAAAAATAAAAAATAAAAATAATTCCAAGTAAGCCCTTAATAAAGAATGAGATATCAAATGCATATTATTATGCGTTTGAGAGACCGGTGTGTCGCAGGATGAGCTGCATTTTATAGCGTTTGTTTAAGTCATTTCGTCCGCAGCTGATAAAACACGCCACTCCCCACGCCTCGCTTTCCGCATTTTGGACGTTGATAAATACTCCCATTGCCCCTCCTTCCGCATTTTGGACGTTGATAAATACTCCCATTGCCCCCTCCTTCGTCCTACACTCTCATTCTGGATTTTCCTCTAGCATTAGCTTCTCTCACCTTTAATAGTTCGACTGATCTCGCACGAGGTATCTAATTTTTGTTCTTCTTTATCCTCTCATCTTCAATCGCTCGTGAGGTACTTTCATACTATATCTTGTGTGTGGGCTTTTTGTCATTTTTGGGATTTTCAATGAGCGCTGCTTCCACATTTATGAGATGTTTTTAATCTCTTCCATTTTGGTGGCACTTCATGGTTTGATTTTCAACATGTGGAGACAGTTGGTGTGGAGATTATGCCCTAAAATATGGTGATTCCTTTTTTCTGTTGTCGGTTAGCTATGCTGCTGATTTTTTTGGTTTCTATTGATTGGGTATGTTGATTTGCATTTGGCGAATGAGTTTGTTGTGGTGGCATTGTCTGACACGTTTTTTGGCATTTAAAATTGGAATTGTGGGAAAGTGAGTGCCTTGCCACCCTCTGAAATGCACAATATACCATGTTATTGAGAGAGCTTTTAGAGTGAAAAAGAAATGAGAGATTTTGTCAGACATGCACGCATATTCATTCAGAAAGTAGTTGAAAGATTATGAGTGCAATAATGACTCTCTTCAATTATATTCATCAGCATCCTACAACATCAAACATTGATTTTGATATTATTAACAAAAATCAATCGATAGTTCCTCTAGAAGCATGAGCTCCTTTTGGGAGAGTCAATATTACCAAATGATTATGATCTAGGTGATGCTTGTACGCAGAATGAAGAGTGTTGAAGATATGGTTCTATTGCCAGAGCACATCAGTAACGCAATAATTAATGTGTTATGCTTATATGATATTGTATGAAGAGATACTATTAATCTTTTAATGTTGAATCTTTATGCAATAAAATTTATGTGGAAAATTATATGAATTTGCAATATTTTTTTTTATTATTTTAGCATGTATTTTATCTCACTTGAATGGCCTCCTCGGCAATCATGGGTGTAATATAGTTATTTTCTTGTATTTTTTAAGTTTGGAGATCAATGATGAGATATATGATCTTAGGAGATTTTCTGGATGATCATGTTACTATGAATTTCGACATATATGAGATTAGTATAAAAGCAACCAAAATCCCTTTCTTTTTAAATAATAACTATTAGAGTTTTTCTTGGTCTTTACACTGATATGTTTCTATGAAGTACAATGTCAATATTACGTCATTTAAAGAAACTAATCTCTTTTCTTTAAAGTTTTTTTATACTACAACAACCTTTATCCCACTAAGTGGGGTCAGCAACATAATTCATATTTCTTCATCATATTCATTTGAGTGTCATATTTTCATTTAATTCATTAAGATCATCTGTCTTCTCATAATGATAGATTATTCTTCAGTTTATATTTACTTTGAACATCACAGTTTTATAAATCTTTGTCTATTTATTTATGTTATTCTTATTATTTAATTTTTCATAAAGGAAGCTAATTTTATATTTCAACTTTCAATAAATAAGACCTTGAAACCTTCTGGTGCTTCTAAAATTGTACTACAATAATGGATTACAATGTTCTCTATTTAAATCACGAAAAAAAAGTAACAATGAAAAAATTTTTAAACGTACCCAAAGAATAGATCTGCATAATATTGTGATTTCTTTAATTGAACAAATCAATTTGATGATTCTACCTCAAATAATAACCAAAAGTGGAAAGTACACTTGAAAAAATTATCCCATAGGATTTATCACCTGAATTGCAAAATTAATATGTTGATAATATTAATTACTATTATTATATTTTTATTTTCGAATTTAATTATTGTGTTACTCGCTGTAAAGTGAGACATTTTTAGATGTAACAGAAGGTTTTTAAGAATTCTAATTTATTTAATTGTGAGTTATTAAGACTATAAAAAACACAGCAATATAGACACAAAAAATGTCTTCTTTTTATAAACATTTGCATCAAAACTACCACAGCTAAACTAAACAAACTGACAAACAGCTTTCCCGTAATAACTTCATCACTCGGTTGCACAACTACTTCAAACGGATGCAGCTGCCCCAAACAAATCATTAATTTATATATTCTAAAAGATGTTACTAAACACTAGCACAATCAAAGGCCACAAACTTGTAATACATGGGCTCAAGCAATCTCCCTACTGCCAACAACCAGACCATCAACACTGAGGTACTATTTAAAGGGCAAAAAAATGCACTATATTTCTTGCTATTCTAACATTTTTGTGTTTGATTTGAAGTATATTTTACCATTGAAATTCATGCTCAATCATATAAAAAATTACAACCCAAATATATTCTTAATATTCTTTAGAATGTACTTTCTAAGTGTATTTTACCATTGAAATTCATGCTCAATCATATAAAAAATTACAACCCAAATATATTCTTAATATTCTTTAGAATGTACTTTCTGCGTCATATGATAATATATATATATATATATATATCTAGAAAAGCATTGCTGACGACCAAGAAAAGCTCCAAAAATTATGATTTTGTCCAGACAAAGACCTTACCACCAGCTGCGGCGCAAGCAAGAATACCAATTCTGCACGGGTGCGAAGCAAAGCGGCAAGGGATTGAACTCAATTCTGGGCTTTCCAAAGCTGTTGTCGTTTTGCTGGAAATGGAAATAACATCCACAGCTCTTCTCATATTTCCAAGAAACAGGAAGGAGTCGTCCCATCCCCAAACAGCCCTGCAAAAGGAAATTAGTAGCTTCTAACTTTAGTCATTTCATTTTATCTTTTCAATAACCAACATTATTTTATTGCATGCTCTAACTTGCGATCAAGATTATCCAAGTTTTGAAAAGGCATGGTAGACTTCAAAAAATACAGCAAAAGAGTACTGAGAGGATTGGAACTGAACTTATAAATTAAAAATCATACATTTAGCTAAAGCTACTAGGAGTGATTGGTTCAAGCACTTCATTGAATGAAGAAAGCTGTTATAAATCAGTTTAAATTTTGATAAACAATGGGTGATATATTAAAGATTATAAAGTAGAATACAATATAATTTGAAAGAATTTCATTTAAAAGAATTTTGCATTACCATAGATTACTTAACGCAATTAGTCAATTTTTTTGTGCACAAGGAATGAGAAATCATGCTGAATGTATAAAGCTGGCATTTGTTAAGTCAATTGTGAGATGCAACAAGAACACACCTGAATGTGGACAACCATCTACCAGTCCGATTGTAGTGATCAACCATAGATATATCTTTGGGACGAGAAACACTGGTAATTCCAACTGTGTCATCAAGGCTGCATTAACAGAGTAGTAATAATCATAAGACCCATGAATAAATCTTACAAAATAGCATAAGCCCTTGAGACCGAAAGTGAGAACTTAGAGGTCCTGCATTACATGATAAAAAGGTTATCTTTCGATTTAAGTATTCCCATTTAATTACAAGAATGCTAAAGAATCTTGATTAAGAAATAGAAAACAGAAGCAGAATAACAAACAGAAATAAAGGTTACACTTTGAGAATTATTACAGAGAGTAACCAGCAAGTAGCAAGAAAAAAATGCAGCACGTTCCAAATGGATAAGGAAAAAAAGAAGAATTTAGCGCAGTCCCTATATACACTTCATGCATTGACCAAAGGGAGGAGGATTTGCCAAATGAAAGCACTTAAAAAACAAACAAACAAGAAAAGAACTAGAAATGGATATTACCTGCATCAAGAATGTCATCATTACTTCCAATAAAGTCTTACTGGTAAAGTAATCATCAAGCTTTCTTTCATTATCAAAATTCCAGTTGTGAAGCCCAAGCAAGCTAACTCTACTTGGGATTGTTTGTCATCATTTTTATTTTTATTTTTATTTTTTGTTTTTGTTATGTTTTATTTATGTTTTGGATTTAAAACAAAACATGTTTGTCACATTGAAAATGAATCAACTATTTTTAAAAACTCATATTTTGTAGTTGTTGTAAAAACACGAAATTACTACCTCGTCCTAAACCCTAAATCTGAAACAAAAAATAAAAATAAATGGAAAAAACAAGAAACAAATATATTTTTAGAAACAAAAAATATATCAATTTCGAACAGGTCCTTAATGATTGAAGCAGAACCAAAAAGCATATCATGGCAACTTCAACTTTGCAAACCCTAAGGTCTTAATGCAACTTCATTACTTGGACCCAAGGTTCACGAGGTCATATTATAGATTAGACTTGATGAAACTGAAAAATTTTAAGAAAAAAAATCAAGGTGAAATAGGGTGCCATTTTAATAAGAAAAAGGGCAATCAATTTTGCAATATATTCTTCACATGTTATAACACCTCAGTGCTGATTTCTAAAAAAAATTTTGCATAATAGGGATACTATCTTGTCATCATAAATTCAAATACACAAAATTAGTAAATTATGAGGTACTAGAAGCCACGTTTTTCTAGTGATTTATGCAACACATCTGCTATTTCATGGAACAAACATGCATGTTGTGCGGTGTTGTTTTTTCTAGGGTGGCCTATGAGGGCAATCTATGCCTTAACTATTAAAGAATTCTTCAAACTAATATCATGTGAAAAATGTAAAAAATGTCTTTTGAATCGAGTTAAATCAGAAGAACCTTGTGGTTGCAAGATAGCTTCCAGTGGGAGAAAAATATGCTGAATGTACAGCCCTTTTATGGTGAACCACGTTAAGGTGCTCCGGTTGATGATTCTTCATATTTCGTAGGTCCCATATGCAAGCTGTTCCATCGGTCGAGCTTGTAGCCATTAAATAACTATTTTCTGCGCTAAAGTCTACCGTATTTATTCTATCTTCATGCGGGCGCCATTTGCTTGAAGCCTTACCAGCCCTATCATCCCAGAGTTTAAGAACCCCTGCTCCCTCCCCAATATAGAGGGAATTAAAATCACATGGCAATTGGCAAATGGAATAAATACAGTTCTCACTCGAATATGTCACATTGAAAGTTTCCTTCTCAACATCCATCTTTCGTACCAATCCATCATAGCTACTAGTAAATATCTGCATAGTTTCACCAGATTATTTTACATGACAGATAGTTTCTTTCAAAGGACAATGGAGTGAATCTTCAAGAATTGGGAGTATAAAGTGACAAAAAAAAGAAAAGAGAGAAGAACAATAAATAGCAAATTATCAAACTTGCATTAAAAAAATACTAATCCTATCCTTTAATATTTGAATTTTGTATTTTCCATTATGAAAACTTCTTTATTTTGAGAAAAATCACAAAAAAAGAAAGGAAAGTTGTTGAACCCAAATGTGTCCGCGGAATCAGGCCCAAGGAATAGAGCGAGATTAAGAGAATATGAAAGACAAAAAGGCAGTGAACGGTAAAATAGAGCATCTAATCTTTTTCTCATGAAATGGTCTTCTATTTATATTTATAGGAGACGCCTGGAATACATAAAGACATATACATAAGTTCAGGTCATTTTGCATAACACACAAATGACAATGATTAAAAATACATTTATAATGAATTTATTGGTCAGTCATGATGACTCTCAATCCTCGGCTTATATTCATTCCTTCGGTGGAGGCAGACCAAACCATAGAAAGACGACACAGAGACCTCTTAACTAAACCCATCCCTGGAATTGCTTCATCCTTCAGACCTACTTCTTTCGGTTGGATGTAGAGATGTTCTTCGCTCGGCCTGATGTGGAGTTGTCCTTCTTTCGACACGGTGTGTATTGGCTCTTCGTTTGACTGTGTTTCGATCGATTCACCGACCGAAGAGAACAACTCGTTAGGGCCTTGGGATACCTTCTTCATTAATTTGATGTCAGCTTTTGCTCTGATAAACTAAATTAACATTTGACTGATCTTTATATGGTTTAACTGTGGGTCCCACTTTATTAGCCACATAACTGCATCTTTCCTTGAGATTTGCGTGTTTTAGGTTCCTGTTATACATATTTAGTTCAATTTACCAATTTCAAGGTAGTTGCATAGGGGTCCATCCAACTCCTTGGTTTGTCGGTAGATATTTCCATTGCTTCAAGGCCCCAATCGTCGGCCTATGCCTTGATACAATATGGGGGCTCGTTACGTCTATGTGAAATCAGATTCACAACTCAAGGTTAACCAAATAAAAGGAGAATTCGAGGCCCGAGACAAGGTGATGACCAAATACCTCACAAAAGCAAAAATAAGAACAATGCCAGAAATATGGTCCCCTGCAACACCAGTCGGCTTGCCAACTACAATATATAATGAGTTTCTGACCCTTCGCCACCAAATGACTAGATATCCTCAGACCATGTTCACCTTCGACGGGACAACGCAAATTCCTCCTAGTCGACTAGACTACTTTGCAAAGTGGATAGAAGCTAAAGAACTCGCCCAAATCACCGCTATTGCGATCCGAAATTTCATCTGGACAGATCTCATCTACTGACACGGCCTTCCTCAAATCCTCATAACCAACAATGGAACTCAGTTCAACACATGCGTAAAAAGTTTTTGCCAAAGTAAAGGAATAAACCTGAAATTCACATCAGTGCATCACCTCGCACCAATGGTTAAGCTGAAGCCGCCAACAAAATCATCTTGAATCTCTTGAGGAAAAAGTTCGAAGGAGCAAGAAAAAAGTGGGCAGATCTACTGCAGTTAGTATTATGGGTTGTCCGAACAATGCCTTCAACGGCAACGAGACATTCTCCCTTTATGTTATCCCACGTTTATAGAAGTAATGCTACCGGTGGAGTACAACCATTACAGCCAGAGGAATGTTACGACCTCCGCCTTCAATGTAGGAAGTTTTGTGAAATGGCAAGAGGCTAATGACGATGGAGTAGAGTTGGCACTCAACCTTGCCGAAGAAGTTCGTATCGAATCTGTCATTCGCCAAGAAGAACTTAAGAGACGAAGAACATGGTACTTCAATAAGAAAGTAAGAGAAAAGACCTTCCCCCTAGGATTTTGTCCCTCAAAAAAGCCGACCAAGCAGCTCGAAGACAAGCGGTAGGAAAGCTTGACAAAATATGGATGGGTCCATTCATCATCAGCCAAAGGGTCTCCCCGGGAGGATACCAACTCAAGATATACACGGGAGACAACATACCCAGAACTTGAAGTGAGGATGATCTAAAACAGTTATTTCCTTAAATGTATAAGTTCAAGCTAACATAATGGAACGAAAAGATGTTTGTCAAAACTCTTGTTATTTGTTTTTACTTTATTACAAACTATTCAAATAGCTAAAGTTTTTGACCAACCCGTCCGAGCGACTGATGAACTTGAGAACTAAAAAGAGTCCCCTCTATGGCGAGCAACCTAAAGACTCCCCTCCGGGGCGAGTAACCTAAAGAACAAAAAACTCCCGTCCGGGGCGAACAATCTAAAGACTCCCTTCCAGGGCGAACAACCCAAAAAACTCCCCTCCTTGAGTCGAGTAATATAAAACCTCCGAACCAAAACGTTTCAGAAATTCACCACCAAAACAAGTAACAGCCAAATAGAGTACACCATAAAAAAGAAAGATGGAAAACGACTGAATCAAAAAACTAGTATTTCCATTGAATTATTATTATTACGCAAGCAAACCAAAAAACTTATATTTCCATTGAATTGTTATCATTACAACAGAGAACAAAAAAACTTGTATTTCTATTAATTTTTTCATTACAAAAGAAGAAAATCCCTCCCTACAAATGTTTTAAGGACGAGAGGTGGAGGGACCGCCTTCTTCCACAGACGCCCTGTATCTCCCAGCACACTTCTTGGCCAAAGGCGATAGGATCAAGAAAAGCTTGGCAAATTTTCCCATGTTCGCGTATTTTGCATCAACCATCTCCAATCTCACAAACTAGTTGATTGCAAACTCAATCCCGAGATGAAATTGGTTCGCCCGCTCCTCTAAAAGCTACTCGACTGTGGTTAACGACACAAGTTTTGTAGGCAGCTCGTCTTGCTCCTCAAGCACAACCAAGAGCCTTTTTTAAGCCCCCGCTAAACTCTCTTCTATTTCAACAAAACAAGCCTTAGCCTCGTTCGCTCGCAGTAAATTTTTCCTCGGACGGGCCTTTGCAACCTTCAACTTCTTCCTTGCCTAAGCGGCTTCAGCTGCAAAACCGAGATATCAGTTGGATAAATAGTGAGATGCTCAGCTGCTAGTACCTATCGACCAGGTGGCATAACTCCAGGGAGCTAAGACAGTCCAACTTGTCCTTGAAGCTCGCTGCCTATATTGTGTCTGCCAGCTCTGTCGCATGGAACTCCAACCTCATACCACGATCAAATCAATCCCACTGCAGTTCAATGAGGGCAAAGCAAGTCCCTCGAAACGAAGGCCTTTGGCCCTTCCTTCTGCATCGAGGTATAGTCATCATTATCCACAAGAAGTGAACCAAACGGGAAGCCCGCGCTACTCATGTGCTCCTTCCCCTTCCTTTGACGAAGCTCCTCAGTAACAGGAGAATTGCTTTCAGGCTCGACACTAGGATCAATGTCGCCTCGATTGAACTCAGGGCTTATGCCCATAGTCCCTAGATTAGGTCGGGTCCCAGAACCTGTCTTCTCCATATCAACATCACAGCTAGGACTCTGTTCTTCGCCAGCCTCGACATACGGCAACAAACGACTAGATTTGTCTCTCTGCGAGGTCAATGAAGCTGGACACGGGAGATCAAAGATTCCTTCTGAGCCCTAAACAACTCTTCATCAGAAGATGAATCAACTTGAGATCTCAAAACGAGAGGAGTCGGAGCATCACCTCCCCCCAAGTCGCCTGTCGAAAGGGAAGTTTTTCTCTCAATTAAAGTTAACTCATCAATTAAAACCCGTTGAATAATGATAGTTATTTTAGAAGTAGAAATAAGGTCCAAACTTGGGGACTTCTTCAAAGTTTCTTTCTCCCCTTCATCGACTTTTTCCCCCTCAGCTCCATTATAGAAGCCTTGGTCGCCTTGTTGATCCGTCGCTTTGACTCAGCATCTAATGCGGCCCACAACTCTCAGGTCATCCGACCATATGTGCATGGATTCAAAACCCAATTAACTATGTCCTCGCAAGTATACTGCACGACAAAAGACTCTTCCCCTACATGGACGACGTCGAACCTCGCATCTAGGGAGAAATCTTTTGTCACTTGTACGGCTCGCCAGATGAATGAGTGAGAATCCCCTAGTCCTTCGCCGATGCCAGGAGAAAATTGCACTTCCAATTCTTGACTTTGTTCTCTAGATCGATCAGTTGGATCTTCAAGTTCGAGGTAAAGTTTACTTAGTCGTTCAAATCAACCTTAAAGGAGAACACGTAAGAGAATAGCTCAACTGACCAAGGGTCTCCATCCTGCGACAATAAACAACGAAAGTCATAACGCCGCTATGCAATTTGCTTTGAGATGGGTCGAGAAAATGTCGTAATGATTCAGAATGGTCATCTCTCATAGTCGTCGGTCCCCAATCGTTCAGACCTGGGGCCTCCAACACTATGTCGTCCCCATCGACATATCTCCTCTAAAGCCTCAAACCTTGTTAAAAGAAAACACAGAGCGCTCTGATGCTGACATTGTTCTGAACACATGGAGCAAATGTTTACAAGCCATAACGGCGCTCAGCAAGAGGACAAAAGGAGAAGTAACCAAAGGATAAGGAAGAGAAAAAAGTGAAGTTATGCAGAAACTTCACCCCTATTTATAGGGCTCAAAAAGAGGTTGCAACACCACTACCCTTAGATTGGGAACACAAATTTTGTGTCACATCATAGGAAAAGAAAAATCAAAATATTTATTTAAAAATGAAAAATGAAGTATTTATTCATTCAGATAAAAAAAATTTTACAACAACTCATCGGCTCTCTGTGGCAAAAACAACCCTCGTCTCAACAATTCCTTGTATAGGACTTGACCCCCTAACTTAAACCTATCAACACTATCAGCTTCAGCCTCGATTCGAAAAACCGAGCATGCCCCCCTTATATCAAACAAGTCCATCTGCAGATTCACAGCCTCCATTCAGATAATGTCAAATTTAGTCTGACAGTCTGCCACCTTGGCTAGGAAGTTGAGAAACTCAGTGAACATTTTTTCAGAGAGGGTGTCGAGCTGCAACTTCCGCTCCTATATGTTGGCCTCTCTCAGGACATCAACCTCCTTCCGAGCTTCAGTTTCATGAACGAAGAAGTCTGTAGTCTTATACATGAAATGAACCACAGAGTCGGTCAACTACCTCTCCCCAATCGTCGACGGGTTCTCTGCGGTCTTCTATGGGGATCCGGGCTCGACTATCAACAGCCTCTAGTGAGTCATAAACATGAGTCGGGTCAACTACATGAAAATGAGGACCAGGTCAGGTAAAGTGCATAATTACTCCAATCTGACAAGTCAAATAACTAAACTCCTCATACTAAGGAGTCAATCCACCTCAGGCTAGAGCAAAGACGAGAAACTCTCACCAGACACAGGAGGAGCATCTACATCCCTCATCCCTCCGATCTAAGAACTGACCGCATCCTTATTCTCAAGAGGGACACCCCCAGAAGTTCGTCGGATATCTCTATCCTCCTGCTGACTAGATTGGTCAATGCTCTGGCAAGAGAAGTAGTTGGACCCTTGTCCAACTTCCGACAAACCAAAACAACATCGTTGGACAATTTATCCTCATCATCGTCCTCACGTGCGCCTGAAGGCCTCTTCTTGAAGGGCAAGTTGTTTACTAGCCCCTTTTTGGAAAGCTTGCTTCCCTCAACATGTTTCCCTCGATCACCAACCCACTCAACCCTAAGGACGACCACATTTTTTAGGAATGCTCGAAGAACAAATTTTCTTAGTCTGAAGTCCAAAAACCTTCATCAAAATGTTATCAGATAGATCCTCAGGCTGAACCTTTCTTCCATTCGCCATTAAAGCGCCCTCAACAAGGCACGATCGAAGCTCTAAACAGAGAAAAAGCGTTGAAGTGATGACCATAAGTAATTGCCTACTTATAGGTTGACAGCGCACGAAAAACTAGGGTGTTAAATTATTAAATATTGCATATAATGTAAATGAATTTAATGTGCAATTTAGTGATGTATTTACTTTTCTTATTTTTATCGCAGTTGTTACATTCAAAAAAGCAAAAAAAAACTGAGAAACTAAATACGTATAAAAGGATTCTAAAGTGCACAAATCTCAAGAAAAGACACAATTACGTGGCAAATAAAGTGAGACCCATGGTCAAATCATATAAAGATCGGTCAAATGAAGTCAAGGAAGACCACAACGAGTCGTTCCCTTCGGTCAATGAGTCGACCGAAACACACAGTTGAGCAAAGATTCAATACACACCCGACCGAAGGAAGGATAACTCCACATCAAGCCGAGCGAAGAACATCTGCACATCCAAGTGAATGAAATAGGTTGACCAAAGGACGGATGGGTTTAATTAAGAGGTCTCTATGTAGTTTTATTGTAGTTCGGCCACCCACCACCCAAAGAACGAACATCAGCCGAGGATCAAAAGTCATAATGACCGACAAAAAAATTCATTATAAATGTATGTTTAATCATTTTCAGTTGTATATTGTGCAAATTAACCTTAATAACCTTAATACCTCTGAACCTATTTGTATATGAAGAGGCTTATATGTAATTATGTATTCCAAGTGGCACTTGTGCCTATAAATAGGAGACCAATTCATGAGAAAAAAAAAAAGTTAGATGCTCATTTTTTACTATTCACCTCCTCGTTGTCTTCCATCTTCTTTCAATCTCACGCTCTATTCCTTGGGTTTAATTCCACGGAACTTTTGGGTTCAACAAAAGCAAATTGGGACCAATACCCAACAACCAAAATTATCATACAGAAAGAAAACTTGATAAGAAAATATCGCACGTTAAAAAAATCAGACCCCAATGAAAAAAGTTGTCAGGGCAGCTAGACCATTATGAAACATTTAAATCCTTCCGAAACCAAATACATAAATCTACTGAAAGCAAATTTTGATTTCTATGAACAGAAAGAGATTTTTTTTTAACAAAAAAAACATGCATATGGAGCATGAAAAATTCTAACTTTTTCTGTTTATCAAGGCAAGAAGATATCTCATACTATAGTTTTAATAAAAAAAAAAACGCAAAAAAAATAAAAAACAGAAACTAAAGCCAAAAGAACAACACGCACTGTAAGTGCAAAAGTATATTCAAACAGATAAAATTCTAAGCATCAAAATGAAACCTCCCTAACCAGATAGAGAGAAAAGCAAGCCAAACCAGAAGCCTGAAGAAAGAGAACCATCTTCCAATCTTAATAAGCAAACGTAACGCTTGAAGTGACCGGAAACTTCTTAGGCCAATCAAGAGGCATGGGAGAAAAGGCCTTTACCTTACTCATGCTTGAGGGATGAATGGAGATCCCTGAAACCGGAGCAGAATGTGGAGCATAAACATAAATTCCCTTATTGTCCTCGTCCTCATCGCCATCCCCAAAATCCAAATCCCAGAACCCAACATTCCCGAGCTTGTTGCCGACGGCAACTACAGTCCGGTTAGCAGAAGGAACAATCTGGATGCTAAGAATCCTTTCCGGAAGAACCTTAGCTACATTCTCTGGCTTTAGCTTCATCGAAGACCTAGGATCAAACTTGCAGTTTCCCAGTAGATTTGACCTATACCAACCATCGGCATCACCCCTTGCAGCGGTGGCGGCCAATATGACATCGATGAGAGGGCGATCTGAAGCGTCACTTTCACCTAAGAATGCATCATTAATGCGGATCTGTTCGCGCTTCCGCGCAGGGGACAGCTCAGGTTTTGGAAAAGGCCGGATTGGTGAAGAATCAGTTGGCGTCAAAGGATGGCCGGAGTGATTTGGAGGTAGTCCGCGTGTGCGGAGGGAGCGGCGGATGACTAATGGTGATCGGGGAGGAGAGTTTTTTAGTTTCTTGAATTTTGTCGGATGATTGGTTGATTTGGAGCCGCTGCGCTTGAGAAAAGAAGAGATTTCGGAAGCCTTAGACTGCAGCATCAGGGCAGCGATCATCTCGCCGTTCCGGCGGATGTTCTCCAGCCGCCGGCTTTCGTAGTCGGTTAGGGTTTTCTTGGACGCCATAGAGAGAGGGAGAGACAGTGTGTAAATGCGCCAATAATGGATTTAGTATTTATTGGGTATTGGTGCAGGTGAAGGCGGGAAATGTAAGCGAAATAAAAAGAGTGCCAGCTTGACTGTCAAATTTGGCGCCCTTTGCTAGTTTGTTATTCTCAAATAACTTGTGATCCGATCGAAAAAAAGTTCATATTTGACTCGTTCGCTAAGTAAAAGAGCCAAACACGAATCTGTTCAGCTCATTTTGGCTCAAAATACATATATTGATGAGTTGTATTTTTGGAAAGTTTAATTGACTACAAGGCTACAAAGATTTATAATCAATTAAAAATATTAATGAAGAAAATAGAATAAAAAATATTAAATTAAATTCAAATAAATGATGTTTTAATATAAATAGTTTTAATATAAATAGAAATTTTTAAATCTTATCCCAATCTTTAACATCTTATGACTATGTGATTAGAGTTGTCAAAAAGACTATTCGTTCGTGAACAGCTCGTGTTCGACTCGCTAAGCAAATGAGCCGAACACGAACACACTTTTTGAGCTCGAAATATAAATGAGCCGAACACGAGTTGAGCCTAGGCTCGCTCGAGTTAAACTCGTTTACACCCCTATTCACAATTCTGATGTATTTTTTATATCATATCTAAGCTTTTATATTTACATACATAACATTAAAATTTTTAATATCACATAAAAAATAATTTTATTAACATTTTTTGAAATTATAATTTATTTTTTCATTCATAAATTTAAATCACCCATTTTACACATGTAAATACAAAAAATTGAGATGTATGTAAGATATATTGATACATTAAAATATTATGTTATGTATGTAAATTACTGAAAAAGTTTTAGGCGAGCCGAATTTGAGACCATCATGCATATATAATAAGCTCATGATATGCCTCTTCGTCAACTTTTTCCTACTATTCTTAAAGAACAATCACATACATGGTTTTATTCATTCCTAGAAGAGATAAGTCATGCATTTCACTAACTTACTAAATTATGCATAGAGCAGTTCATTGCAAATTGATGGATTGTCAAAGACACTTACACCTTTCTAGAATTCGTAAAAGTGATCAAGATACTCTGAAAGATTATTTTTGAAGCACTCTAATGAAGGATGCAACCATTGCTACAACCTCAAAATATTGTTCACTTTAATGCTTTGGGAGTGATTGTGGCATGGTAGTCTTCGTACATTTCATTTAAACATCAAGTTTATGAAAATCGATTTTAAGCTAGGGGAAAAACCTTCACCACAACCTTGAAAGATCGTTCACATCAAATTTATGGGCACAATTGTGGTGGGGTAGTCCTCATACGTTTTATCAAGTCTATGAGAATCGATTCTAGGCTTAGGGACAAATTTCACCAAAAATTCAAGTGGACACTCATATCACCATCTTAAACATGACTTCAAGATCAACCATTGGTCAAAAATGTCCAATTAGAAAGTGCTCTATGACCTCCCCCTCATCATATTAGAGCTCCATCCTAACTGGATCAAGAAGTTGAAATACTTAGAGTTGGATACATTGGTTGCTTTATTTCAAATGATTAGGCTCATATGATCAATAGCCTTACTAGGGGACAAAAAATAAAAAAAAAGAACAACAAGTTGTCAAATGTCCTTCTTGAATATGGTTACATCTATATTTTCAAAAAAAATATACGGGCTACATCAACCTACAACCTAGACTAAAAAAAACACATAGTATTTCTGGCACCACATGCTGGGCTTAATCGATCCAACAGGTTACAATTGTTAAGTACAAGCTTCGATAAAATAGCATAGGAAAGTGTTGGCATCACTATTTAATATCACATTTGTGGAATGTCAACCTGAGCGTATCGGGGTCATGCTTCACGCATACATTGCTTTCTAGAGCTCAAGCCATCCATTTAAAACTCTCTGATGTGTGTTGAGGGGCATGTGGCTGGAGTTGTTTTGTTGAATTCTAGCTTTTTCTTAGGCAGCTCTTTTGCTTAGGCGAAGGCTAGTGAGCTTTTGGTTAGTCGAATGACTTCAAATCTCGTTCGCAATGATGAACGAGAATCGAGTTGAAATTGTCTCGGTTGTCTATGAAGTTATCTAGATGGCCTTGAATGACAAAATGGACCGTGCGAACACATCGAGAATGTCAATTTTACCTAGAAATAACACCCATATTGTTTGGTTTCGTGCACAGGTCACATTCGAAACGACGCAAGCAAAGAGAGGCCAAATTTATCTCGAACGACAAAATGAACAGCGTGAGAACACCCATATTGTTGGGATTTTGTGCACGGGTCTCATTTGACATGATGCATGCAAATCAAGGCTAAACTGGTCTCGGATGATGAAACAGACCATGTGAGCTCATCCAAAACATTTATTTTAACTAGGAAGGACACTTGTATTGTTTGGGTTTTGTACACAGGTCTCATCTAACATGACACATGTAAATCAAGGCATTTGCGGGCCTCCGCGCGCTCAGTACCCCCTCTGTGCACTAGCGTGCACACACCCACGCCTATGTAAGCTTGGGCGCACGAGCGCCTATGTGCCTACACACACTCCTAACCATATCCAAGCTAGTGCTTGCCAATCCCCTTGCCACCGCTTGCCAGCCCCTTACCAACGCTAACCAAATCTAGGCACATCCATCCCAAATCCAAGCATATTCAGGCACATCCAGGCTCTCGCTTGCCAGTACCTTTGTCAGGGCTTGTCAACACTAGCCAAATCCAGCCTCTACAAGTCCACGTGGTAATAGCTGCTCCTCTACATGCACATTAGCATACCTGTGCGCACCCGCACGCACTTGTGTACGCGCCTCTGCAAGTATCCATGCAAGTTGTTGTATGCAGCTGTGTGGAACTATGTGCACTCAGCTTCCCAAAGCAACCCCAAGCCGAATTTTTTAACTTTTTGACCCCCACTTGATATCTTGAGTAGCCATTGGTAATGTAATTAATTAAAGCGGTCTAATAGAATGTCTCCATGCCAACACACCTCCCCAATACCAATGAGGGAGGTCATATGCTGATTAAAATCCAATTTCTTATGGATTTGGAGGGGAAAAAGCCTCCAATGGATCATTTCTTTGGGGTTTAAGTTTAGGATATGAAAATTGACAAAAAAAAAGTTATTTTTTAGCTGGTAGAGAGCTTGGAGGTTGCTTGAAGATAAGAGAGAGCTAGAGTGTGAAATTTCTTTTTCTTCATCTTCTTCTTTCTTCATGCTTTGTCCTCCAAAGATCTCTTCTTCTTTTCAATTTTTTTTTTCTCTTCATCTAATCGAGTAGGAGGTTCATTTTCAAAAAACAAAGAATCTTGGAGAGAACCTTGGAGAGCAAGCAAAGCCCTTGGAGAGAAAAGTAAGAAAAAAGAAGAGAGAACTTCCCTCTTCTCTTCTCTCACACATTTCTTCTACTTAAACATTCTACCTCTTTCTTCTTTATCTTCTTTCTTTGGATATCTCTTTTCTTTCACAAAATAGAGAGAAGGAAGATTAAGAGATTGTGATGGAGGGTTTCTCATTTCTTGAAGTATTTGGAGCAAAAAAAAGGCCACATCTTTCCTTGGTGTGAGGAAAGCATCATCTTTCCTTGAGGAGGGTCTTTCTCTCCTTCATTTGAGGAGAGCTTCAACTCTACTTTGGGGAAAAGAAAAACCTTCATCTCCTTCTCTTGAGGAGAGCATCATCTTTGCTATAGAGGATGTCGTTAAATATCGCAAATGTGAAACACCTCCAAACCCACACATTTCCTTTCATAGCCAGCCCTAAGACTACGATAGATTTTTCTAAGTGCTTGTGGGTTTGGTTGCTTACACAAGGCAGGTTTGACCAGCCACCCGATATTGTCCAGATAAATCGATTGTTCGTTATCAAAAGTTCTGATTGGCCGAATGATATTGGTCGGTTGGGCCATACTCCTTTTGATTGGTCTGCTTTGTGGTCACCATGGATTTGGTTGACTAAGCTAGGCAAGTTAGTCGACTAACACTAGTTGGTATGGCCATACACTTATTGATTGACCAATTATGCCTTAGAGAAAGCCCTAGTTTAGGACTTTAGATTCATGAAAAAATTTCCAGCAGAGCCAAGTATGTTTCCTTGCAACCCTTAGAACTAAACCTAAGCGGGTCAGAATCCTTATTTATCACATCTTTGGTGATTTCTAACCCTCATTGGAGGGGTTGGATAATTTGGATCTCGTGAAAGTAAGAAAAGCTCTGTAGCTAGTTACTTTATAAGATCGTGGGGAGTCATGGGGTGGAAAAATCTTTTTAGTTAGTCCATCCTACGACATGTTGGGGAATTGCTCCTTTGAGAAAACTAGAGGAGGTGATTCCCTACATCCCTCACCAAAGTTTGAGGCAGCTACGCATCAAATCCATGTCTTGAAACCTAAATCCTAAGTGCAGAGATTAGGAGCGTTTAGCTTGCCATCGAACTTTTGTTTGGGTTTCATTTTTTTTTTTTTGATATGTAAGCATTCTATTTTTTAAATGTGCATGAAACATAGATAATTTTGCATGTTATAGGGTTCGACTATGTGCTACGAGTTATTTTGATAAACAACCCTATATATTCCGATCCAATTGATTGTCAATTGTCGGACGATCTAATTGGCCAATCGATACTGGTTGATATGACATCTTGAATGCCTGGAGACTTACCCTGGAACTTAGATGCAGATTATGACGCTTCTCATTAGATGACGTGCTAGTTAGGACTAGGGTACTAGGTAGTATTTTTTATGCCTCTGTCTATTGTTCTATGTTGGATTGATTATTCTTGCCAAACATCATTTTATTGTACTTTTGGCGTGTGTGCATGCTTAACATGCATTGTAGTATATTAGGGTGTTCTTCTGCAGGGAGTCGTGCATATATGAATATGCACACAAACATGTACAATTAAAGGGGGAGCATGTGATGATTTTTACTAACACTTTGCTTGCATGTGCTATTTAGCTCCCCCAATAAAATGGGCATGACTTAGATTTAATTGCATGTTAACTCGTGCTAACTGATTTTCTGCAGTTTGAGT